ATATCTGGAACGGTCTCTCAAATTCACCAGTTATACTCTTCTAACTTCTTGCGATTCTTGAAATGTGTAATATTGTCTGCTGCTGTAATAATATTAAGCAATAACCTGTTAGAACTCAAAATTGCTTAAAATAATTAACTGAACAGCATTAAAATTTTACTTAAAAAGAAACAAATTAAACTTTAAACATGTTCTGATATCATTATAATCATGCTACACTCTCAGAAATGGGTAACTTAAATGTGTATATTAGTACCTACAAATTTTAAGAGGAACACTTTTGTACTTTTTAGGTACTAATATGCACCTTTGAGGTATGAATATAGACCTTTTAGGTACAAATTTGTATCTTTTGAAAAAGGTACCACCCCAGTGACAGCTTGCGTACCTTTATTTCTGAGAGTGTACTCTGATCAATCAACAGCCACACCGATAAGAGCAGAGATGGCCAATCAGATCACAGATATAGAGGAATAAAGGGGGAAACTAGTAAACAGAAAATAGAAATAAAATCAGCCTGAGATATATTAAAAGTTTATGGTTTAATGTAATCTCAAAAATGTTTAAAATTTTAAATAACACATTAAAACAATGACTGGGGTTGGGTTGGTAACAAAGGTGTGGATCCAAATGCAGTTTATCAGGATTAGTCAGGCAGATAAGGTTAAAATCAGTCTGAGATTTAAAATGAGGTTTAAGTAATGTAATCTCAAATAAATTGAAATTTAATATAACATTTATTACAATAATAATAAATAATAAATAATAAAACGCAGTATTTTAATCTAATAAGAGGACCCGCTATCACACAGAATTGATTTCAGTCTACGCTTGTTACATATTGCTCCAGGAGATGGCGACATCACGACTGTTTTTGCTGTATCTCAGTTTCAGTTTCTTCCTCCACTGACGGTGAAGGGAGGCTAGAGCGGAAACAGCTGCGGATTCTTGGGCATGCGCACATCAATGTAGAGTAAGTTTGTGACGCTGCACAACAACAATTAACATTTATGTTACTGTAGGAGAGTTAGGGTTTGTCTAAATGTTAATAAAACAAAATCCAATTGGTTAATTAATAAATAAATCATGTTAACTTCTGGGTGAACAGAAGAAAACATTTCTAGAAAATAAACGACATTTGCTCATGTGTCTTCTGAGGGCATCGTGGGTGTATTTGAGGAAGTAATGTTAAAAAAGTTTTACCAACACTGCTATTCTGCACATTTTAGAAGCTATGTATCTTTATATTTGGCTTCATATTGGTCTTGGAGTCAGACTGAGTGTGTTTTGTCTTTGAGTGCTAACTTGCATTATACCAACTTGCTAACTTTCTTTTTAATCAACTATGTTTTATATTTTACGTAAAAGAGACTTTATAATCAGGCAGATGAAGAAGAATGAGATTAAAAAGAGATTGCTTATGGTGTTACCATTGAATGTAGGTGCATCCATTGTTTCGTATGTAGTCAAATAAAATTTAACTACATTTAAAAAATATAATTTTAAAGGAAAATTTAAACTGAAATGTTTTCTCACATTTAAGTATGCTGAACTATCGTCAGCATTTAAAACCCACACATTTAATTGCATGCAAGTCTATATGAGGAACTCACACTTTGAACTGCAAATCTGGCTGTTTATTTACCAGAAGCCCTTCATGGCCTCGCATGTGTACTAGTTATTTCTGAGAGAAGTGTGAAGATATAATCAGCTTTTTCTCTCTGCTCATAGGCCCGGTTTTTCAAAAGTAATCCACTAGGATCTTGGATGAGGGATTGGATTAAATCTTGAAAATGGGTTTTTCAAAAGAAAAAACGGATTACATAATCGGATTAGATCACGTAATCCAATCTTGGTTTTGATCTGGATCAAACCTTTAGTTTGGGTTTTTGTAGGGTCTGGATCACTTTGATCCAAAAAACCTGGATTAAACTGATGCCATCAGAAGGGTGGATTTAGCATGGATTTTATGCCTAAAATTTAATGAAAACTTAAAAATGTATTAAATAATACTATTTTTGGATTATGCAGTATCTTACGAGATATAATATTTATTCATAAGGTTTTAATTTTATTTGTTCATCCGTCAGGCTATAGTGATTATAGGCTTTAACAAATTCAGCCTTTCAGTATAGGCCTACAGCAAAGAAGGTTTGGCCTCATAAAATAATCCCCCAAACAGCTGTCAAAACTGACCAAAAAC